GGGGTAGGTGTCAGTCCCCTCCTCTCTGCTCCCTCCTCCTCCCTCCCTTCCCTTCTTGGTTTGAATTTCTTCCCTCCGGCATTTCACTGGCTCTCGGAGCAAGAGCCCAGACCTGCACCGAACGGAGAGCAAGGCTCAGACCCTCTTGCTGCCTCTCCAAGCCCACGGGAGCTGGAGGCTGGAGGGGGTTGAGGGGCTGAAGCAGAGCAAACAGGAGGGACTTGGATTTTGCTAGCATCTGAGGGCTGCGCGTGCCCCTTGGAGAACCCCTCGGAGAGACGGACGGCGTCTCCTCTCCGCTGCGAGCTGGTGGAGTACCGCGGGCCGGCAGGCAAAGGATGCTGGAGGTTCGGCGAGCGGGCTGCAGGGCAGCGCTGTTGCTCTGGATTGTCAGCAGCTTCCTCTGCAGAACCTGGACGGCTCCCTCCTCGTCCCGTAAGTAGCCCTGTCCGCCAGCCCGCGCCGCGCCCCAGCAGGGTCAGTGCCGCAATGGGGTTCCACACCAGGGTGGCAACTCTGAGGTGCGCACGCAGTTCTCGCCCCCCGATGTGTGCGCGCCCCCCGGTCGTCACGCACTTGCAGCCACTGCAGCAGAGAAACTCCAGACCCAGTGCGCTCCTGGCGAGGGGAGAACAGGGCTTTGACGCTAGTGATGTTTCTGGAAAGTTGTTCTGGTCGTGGAGATAGCTTGGCAAGTGCTCGGTTCCACGAAGAGCGTGGACAGCACCTTCCTCAGAGATATTTGTGCAGAGGGAGCTCCTGGCATTTTGGATCAGTGCAGGAAAAGTGGAGATCGGGACAAAAAGAAGTTTCTTTTTATTTATGGTTTCCACTTGCATGCGCTCCGGTTTGAGGATGAAACAGGAGTATTATTTTCAAACAGTGTGGGCTTCTGCAGATTCTGTGAGCCTCCCCTATCTCCTGAAAACAGTTAATGCCTGTTTAGTACCTGCTCATGAAAATGAAAGACAACATTGTCACTGAAATCGCTCGAATTGTTTGGTGGATTGAGATAATGGGTATAACCCACGCAGTTCCGTGCTTGGGGTAGTCGTTGCCAGGTGGCATTCATGGAGAAACGAGGAGATTGCTTGAAAGAGTTTTCAGGAAAATGCTGCTGCTCAAAATGAGTATCTGTGTTTTTCAATAGTTTTTTAAAGACACCGTTTTCTATGAGAAATGGAAGATTCCATTTTTTCCATTGCTTTTTTTTTTTTTGAGAGGAAATAATTGAGTGTTCCTTAGGCTCTGAAAGAGTTAAAGAATAGAAAGATTCCTCTAGAACTTAGGGTAGCATTCATAAGCACCTACTTGTTTCTGAAAATAAGTAAGCCAGGGAAGAATTACACGGAGATTTTTAGAGTTTGAAAAATAAATGTTTTCCACTGAGGGAAAATAAGTGTAATATCTTCAAGAACTCATCATATATGAAGTAGCCCTGTCTCTATTTATAAGAATTGGGTTATATTAATTCAGCCTTGGTTATATTTTAATATTAATATTCCCGTTCCACTGTATGCATATTAAGAGTTGCATTAAAAAGGACTTTGAAAGATGTAGTAAATATTATCCATCATAATGTATCATTGTTAATATTTTGATGTGTTTCTCAAATACTTGCTGGATTAGTTTTTCTGTATTGGATATTATTTCTCATAATGTGTAAAGATAAAGTTATAATCTAATGAAAATCTAAGTTGTAATGAACTTGAGAAAACACTTAGTAGATTTTTCAGGCCCCGAATTAAAAATCAAAAAGTTATGTATTGTTAATACTTGCATTAATTTCACTGACTGGAACAGAAATTATGACTATATTATGCTTGATGTTGATATTTACATACACACACACACACACACACACACACGCACATATATATATATATATAATTATATACTCAGTAAACTATTCTGATGAAATTCCAGTTCCATTTCAGCATCTAGTTATAGAAAACTTGCTGCCAATTTTCCTGGAAAATAACTCATTATAAGTTGAATTTATTATAAACATTAATGAAAGGCCCTGATTTCTACTTTTTTTTCAAGGATTCTGTGTTTCATCTTTTTATGCTTTGGTTATAATGACTCAGTGTGAACGCTAACTAGGTATCAAGGATGACATACTTGCAGCCTGTGTATTAGTTCCAATATGGAAAATTATAATTTCAGAAACATATACACATATTTATTACTTGATATTTAGTGAAAGAGAACAACATAAAACAATTACTTTTAAGGTTTATATTTGGTTTTAAGACTTACTTAGCTTTTATTCTCCATTTTTAAAAAATTTAAAGTAACTTAATTGAGATGGCCTTTCTATTTCATTCAAATTTAAACTATGTGACCAAGCCACAGTTTCATCGTATCATGAATTAATGAAATAGTAAGACGATATAGGACTTTACTAATTAGAACGAGCTTCATATGTTTAGTACTTAAAATTCAAATACTTCTGCACTTAATGAAAATATTATTTTATATTATGTATAGCTCTAGAGAACAGTATAATGGCTATATTCTTAAAATTAAAAACATTCAAAGAAGAAAATATATTAACTGTATGAATCTCAGATAATGAACAACTCAACCAGGAGAGGTCATCACAAGACAGAAAGTAACATAAAAATGTAAAAGCAACATTTGTATTTGATTCATTTTTTAAAAATATGATGACTCTGCTAAAACTTCCTGCCCTCACATCAGATTTTAATATGATGGAAAATTTTAGAAAATACTGTTAATATGTATTTTTTCCTTTCACAGCAAATATATTTGAAATGCATAACTTCTTGGGGCTTGTTTTCTTTATTTTTTTCTTTTCTTGGAATGTATATAAAAAATAATGATACTGTGTTTTACACAAGTTGACCAGAATAAAGCCAAAGATACATATCACTTGGTTTAAATCCACATATAATCTAATTTCTTTCTGACAGAGAAAACAATATGTTGCTAAGTTGATAGCATCTTTTACCTTCCCTTCCTGTAAATGTATGTGCATGGGGCACACCTGGGAGGTTTGAAGAGAACAGTGTGCTGATAGGAAGTGCTAGAAAGTTCACTTACTGGATCACACTGGAAAGATCCTGAGAATACCCTGCCAAATAATGAGGGGTTTGAGCCAGCGTTAAGTAAGTTCAGTTCTTAATTTTACCAAACATGTACTGGAATAACTCTACTAAAGACCATTTTGCATTACTTCTTATAACTCTGAACCTATAATTTTACTGACTGTCATATTAAGATATGTATTATCTATTAATTTAAATAATTTCTAATAAACATGTGCTTATATAAATATACATGTATAAACAGATATCTATCTATAGAAATGGTAAAACTATAATACACAGTTACATATTACTTTATACAGAGTATACATTAAATATTTTACATTTAAAAAATGCATATATTTCCTAACTTCTTTCAATGAGTTTAATTTTTTCACAAGTTTATAGTTAGGTCTTTTCCTGTGAAGTTATTTGAATAATTAATGCAACAATATCAAAGAAAAATTTATTGGTCTATTTTCTCTCTCCTCAATTCATATATTTCCTGCAAAATATATGTATATTTGAATGCATATTACAGTAAATACTGTCAGTTTATCTTAAAAATTAACATAGTAATGAATCTGCATTTAAAAATTGTAAAGTGTTAAAAAGTTTTTGACTAGTAAAATTAATTAAAGAATGGGTGACATTTCAGTCAGCTAAGGTTAATTAATATGAAAATTATTGCTAACTATATATATATATATATACACACACACACACACACACACATACATAATCTATACTTCACTATAAGTATTGATATTTAGAAAATAGGACACTTTTGAAGTTTTACTCCTTTATCATCAATGTATAGCAAAACTGGTCTTTAAAAATCCACATATTTAATACAGGTTTTTATTTATCTTCATTCTTTTATAAACATGTGGCCTATTATGTTTAAGTGACAGGATCAAATTTGTACATCATATTTAAAAAATTGCTTCAATATATTTTTTCTTTATTTAAATGGGCAAGAAGTTTCAAGTTCTATAGTTCTCTATGATTTTATTTAAGCTGTCTTAATGAGTAAATTTATCAAGAGAAAATAATATTTGAAAACATAAAAAGCCATTTTGTCTGCTATATCTTTTTTATAATTGAAAGCTTAAAGAAATGTGATGTTCCACCAGTCTATCTTCTCTTTTAAAAATAAATGTATTTATTTGTTGTAAATAGTATGAAGAGCAATAATTCTATGCTCAGAAATTCTTAAGTCCAATCTAATTTGTATTTTAAAAATGTCAATCCTATAAAAAAGAAACTTCTGGATATTGTCAGTTAAGTGACTGATGTCAACATTAAAACAAATAAAAACAATAAAATATGTATTTCTAAGATTTCCCCATGTTAAATCTTGATTTGAGAATTGCTTTATTATTTTGGGGGTATTATTATTATTTGGTAAACTGTGGTGTGTCACCACAGTTTAATATATAGTGTAATAAATACTTTTAAAGACAAGGTAGCACATAATAAATTAAACTTCAAAACTATAATATTAAGTAAAGTAAATTCTTTATTTTGATATATATCATTACCTGAACTTAAAATGTTGTATTTTCAGATATGTATGCATTTTAAGATAATTGGCTTGCAGATAATTGGCTTGTGTGACCTTTATGTTTTTATCTTTGACCAAGTAAAGATGTTGGGAGGTTGACTTGCTACTTTTTTTTTTCTATCCTAATTGTTCCTTTTAGGTTGAGGAGATGCTACTTGTTATACTCTTTGAATTATTTCAATAGTTTATTCACTTTTCCCATATCAGAGAGAGAAACTTCTATTAAGTATCCTGGGGAACACATGCATACGTACAGTTCTGCCTCTCTCTCCTCATTGCAGACTGCTGTAGAAGGCCCAGGTTTTGCTAACGGGTGCATAAGGGCATGCTCTTCTGCAAAAATTACTATAGTGTGAAAAGGCTATGGTGCTAAGTTCTTCTTGTGGCTAGAAGTCTGCTTCATTTTAGAGTTGAAGATAACAAACACATTGTTCTCACACATTCAAGCCCGTCCGTTTTAGCAATGCCTGTAGAAAGGATGATGCTTGCTCCTTGTCAGGAAGTTCTTTTCTAATTTAGAACTCAAGCAAATGAGGGAGCCCTATGTGCCATGAAAACCTTCAACATATTACAATTTTTTATAACAATGTTGTTAGCTTTATTGCCATAAATGAACACGAGAGAATTTCTACATATTTCAGAAACAAGAAATGAGTAAGATTTGTTCCCTCCCTCACTCTTAAACAAAGTAGGAGTACTGAAATTATCCCTGACCTCCAAGTCTTCCCACTCATTTCATTCATTCTTATTTCCACATGGTCTTATTAACACTCATTTAAAAGAAAAGCATCCCCTTATCTGTTACATTATGTATT